CTTTGTGACAACGATAGTATTGGTGCCCATAATGGGACATGTTCAATTCTGACTTTGGGCTAGGCGTGAATAATATTCCCAGGTGCTTCTCAGCCAATATCGACGGCAGATATGCGTCAGTGTAAAAATATTGTCGATTTCGGATTTGACCTCCCGTTTGTCACACAAAGTACTTTGCTGGTTTCGCCCTAAATAGATTGTTCGGGAGAACATCGAACAGTGCCTCGACTGTGCGCGAATTTTTGTGAAGTTGCCTCTACAGTGGGCATAAGTTTGTCTGCACGGATCAGTAAGTTGATGTCAAGGAAGCAGGGCTGGCTGCGAGTGCAAAACTGCTGACAGCACTTCATCTGCCACCACCTAGCCGGACTCTCAGCTCGTAGGTTTTCCTATACATAAGATTTTTTCACCATTATCAGTTCAAGCTTCCTGGAGTGATTGTTTGGGGTCCTATTCAAAGATGCGTGGATCTGAGAAGCTAAAAGCCCGTCATCGAGTGGTAAATCAGTGGCACTTAAACGTAACACTCAAAGCCGAGAGGCTGAAATTCTCAAAGATACCCACAATACAAGCCTAAAATTTAGCGAGCGTCTGAAGCGCTAAAAAAGGAAATGTCGCAACAAATTATGAGGAAACATGGAAGGGTAGCCCGGACGTCCTTCATACACAGATGGCAGCTTACTTAATACCTTTTGTTGGACCGGTTGTTTTTAATGCTGTGCGACGACTTTTACCATGAGAGTTTGCGCGTTATCCAAACGTACATATATTTGAGCCAAGTAAGTTGAGCACCTGTCTGGATTTCCGAGATTTTATTTGTGCACAACAAAGAAACATTAGCTTGCGGCATGTACGGTTCTACGTCATTTACAGGCGTTTTACAGCAAAGGAAATTCTTGTAAATAGTGGGTGGTTTACGGCAAATGCTAATCGAATAGACATTTGAACAAGCTAAAAACCTTTCGGTTAAGCAGTTGCCTACAATATGCCCCGAAGGTAGATCTGAGGAATAATTAGCGATGGAAATTACCAATACTGGATTCGAAGAGGGTTTATTGTCAGATTTTGGCAGATGTGTATACATGAAGAGTCAGGTCTTTTAATGAGTAGCACAAACTACGTTAGCACGACAGCCAAGCTGAAGGCAGCGCGATGCTGTCTCATAGAAGCTGAGCGGCTGGTGCAAACTGCAAAAATTTTGTGATAATGTGGTGGTGATGCAGGCCCTATAACTCGTTGATTGCCTTCGAAAAAGAGCGTTCTGGACAAATGAGTACTACCCATTCCAGTCTAAAACATACGTGAACCTCCCTAACCTATATACGTGCAATAATGCGAAGGTATCGGAAAGCACTTATTTTCCGGAAAGGTAGAGTGCCTTATCATATTGCATGCTTTTATATTGAATCTAGCTGTAGGCGTGCAAGGCTCTGATTGACAAGAGTGTGTCAGTCGCATGTGACATTTCCTGGTTATATACACGCAACAATAACCGCATTAAATATGACTTCTTTCAGTTGTCCACAGGACCTGTTCTAAATGCTGCAATCTATCTTATTAGTATAGGTTATCATGATGGCGTTTTTTTAACCCGGAGGCAACTGTATATGAAGCTGGAAGGGATCAGGAAGTGGGCTTGTGCGTCCCATTTTGAATCAGATAATTGTGGGTTTGATGAAAGCTTGTGATTACCGTTTGACAAGTGCGTGTCATAAGCCGGCTGTGTAAAACCACTCTGTACCCTCAACGGCTTTCGTAAAACGCCAACCTACTGAAAATCAGGGAATCTTCGGAGCAAATCAGCACTGAAAAAAAATTTTCATCAGTGAAGACGAAACGTCCTTAAAGATGCTGCAGGAGGTACTGAAGGTGCTGGTCGACTTCGCAACCTTCGTGTATATCTGGTTGTTGCAGCCTGGCATCGAAGTCCCTTAAATATCGCATCACGCTTAGCGGCGCACCAGGTCCCCTCAGTAGGACGAAGTTCGGAGGGGTCGGGGAGTACAACCTTCTGAAGATATTGGAGGCTGCTCCACGATGAGCCATCAGGTGGACATATCTATGGCAAAACTACGGCAACGTTCCAACAACGTGGATGTTTTTGAAGCGCGAACGGAGCTGCAAGGTTTTTGAGAAAGGAAAATGCAGAAAACTTGAGCCTAGTGATATCTGCAGTCTTCCGTTCGTATTTTAGAATCACCTGTATTTTTATGTAAGAATCTTGGTGACATTTACCCATATGCCGTAACACACTGGACACCCTCATATTTCGATTTTGATTAAACCCTTGACATTAGTGAACTGAAGTGAGGGCGCGTTATTCCACACTTTTCGCTACAGATCCTGTCTTGGTTCTACTCTTGGAGGTTAGCCTCTTTTGTCCTAATTTTCTTTATTTTCTCGTTCAACGGAATTTTCCGCCACATAGTCTGCTGTATTACTTACAAAACTATAATCTTTATTTCTGTATCTGACGCCATTCTTTTAGATCATGTTGCAAATACCTACTGATAACTATACGCAGATTTTAGTGCATGATGTGTTCTGAGAGGGAACTTACCTTTAGTAACCAGACAGACCAGATGTTTTTGGCTGGTTTAGGTTTATCTTATGGCTCGGGCTGTTCACGGTGAGGACTGTTTATCTCCATGGTCATCGAACTTTCGAAACGTTTATTTCATGGGGAAATGTGCGAAGGTTTATGTGACCCCCGTAGGCTATAGAGACAATGGTGGGTGGCGCGCTGAACTTGCATGTGCGTGATGTCGACCTGTGTATGTTGGCATTTCGACGGTGTATGCAAGCCGTAAATCACATCGCTGTGACGTCGTATGGTTTGAAAAGTGAAGGAGGAAAATGGTATATATGACACCGTCGAATAAACTGAGTAGAATCGGGGAACATCTCCAGCGTTTGCATGTGATGGTGTTCACTCAGGTGTTCATCTAAGAGACGTTTGAAATAACCCGCCGAGGAAACGCGGGAAAAATAGCCGTTTAGTTGCGAAATTTCGCTGCCTTGGAACTCAGGCGAATAATCGGGGTCGAAAGTTACCCAAGATTAGACAGGAGCAACTAAAACGACGCGGTTGTTCTGATCCGCGGTCCTTTCTGTCATTAACTTCTCAGTGTAACTGTTTCGCTACCCCGGACACAGAACTTTGTTGAAAAATGACTTCCAAAAGCAGCTAACCTGACTAACAAAGCAACACATGCGGTATCCTACCATCATGTGTTGTGGTAAAGTGCAAACGGATGATGGGGGTGTTTGAACCGTTAAATCGTAAATATCGAGGAATATTTTGGACAAGTGTTAGGTCGCTCATAAATTATGACCTGTGCTGCTAAGTGAGTCGTGAATGTGGACGTGCCGAACCTTCCAAGTGATCTTAGACGGCTGTCATTTTGTTATCCTGTGATACTATCTGAAATTCACGTTGATCTCCTTTTGGCATGACCTCATGTCCTGGATGCAAGTTGTGATTCACTATGGCATGAAAACAAAGCTTCGCTCCGTTGGTTTGGCTTCATTCTCGAGCGACGGTTAAGTTGGAAGTAATGTCCGAATGAGGAAGACAGACCTCTTAAATTGGCTTAGCAGCAGATCAAGCTCCCCGTGAGACGTAAGGTGCACCAAGTTTATTTTAATCGTTTATTTTAATCGGATACTAGAAGTTGCTCCGTTTCGGCACAGTCACTGTTGTATTTCCCAGCATAGTTGGACAACCCGACTGATCAGCGGAACTAGCCTTAAACTAACTATCACACCAACCCATGATACATGAATGCTGCTCACTAAAAGTCAGGGTGTTCCTGAAATTGTGTATTACGATGGAATTCAAGGTAAAACTTGATTGAGTACTTTGTTTAAGAGATGTCAACGAAATCATAAGGAGTCCTTCCGCAGCACTTTTGTTGATGAAATTCTCGAAATGATTGCTACTGTGGCAGAAATATTCCGGAGTCGTCAGTTCAGTTGTTCTTCTCCGTGTACTTCATAGAGTCTCTAAGATCATAGTGCGGTCACTATAAATGTGTTAAGTAATGATAACAATCAAAGGGCATAATATAACTTCGCCATTCCTCGATATTTCCTTAATGATTGTGCGACAAATAGAGAATACAGGGCTTATCAAACTCAAGGTTTTACTCAGCCTGTTGTTACGTCCGTCCACGATTGCATGCCTTGTGTCTACATGGGTGCTTTTTTGTCTCTGTAGCTACAGTTTAGTAAACAAACCTCTCTGAAATGATGATTACCCAATCGGTCCCAAACATTTTCCAACTAATTGAAATAATTTCTTTAGTTTCAAAGCTGTTTTTTGTGTCGTTCAAAGTAATGTGTGCTTTAGGGACGTGGAGAAAATGCCTAAGATTTCGGTCATGTTCAGCTCTTGTTTTACGGCGGACGGTTACGTTGCCAATGTAAGTAAACCTGTCTCGCACTCATTCGGGTCTGATGATACTCCTTATCGTTCGCTGGAACCTCGTTTGTCACTACGAAATGAGTGCGCCGAAGCTGGTATACGTTCTCGCAGGCGACTTCAGTTCTGGACGAACTGATCAGTATCTTGACCGGGTTGTTGTTTGTAGGTAACCGAGAGGTGGTGATCAAGCAACGGTGCGGGATGTTTTGTCGTATGGCTGTGAGACTTGGCCTGTTCGAGCCGCGGAACTGAGACGTCTTCAGATGTTCGACAGTCGTTGTCTCAGAACTATGGCTCCTGTGGGTTGCTGTCGGCGAATCCGTAACGAGGCAAATAGAAATCGAGTTTTCGGTTGTGCAACGGGACTTTCATTGAAGAATGTGTCCGGACCAGGAGCCGCGTTGGTTGGGACATGTGTTGCATATGCCTAGCCGCCGTTTGCTGAAGAGAGTGCTGTTTTCCATGCCCAGCTCAGGGTGGCAGAAGCAAAGAGGTGGCCAACCTTTCACCTTGCAGAGTGGTATAAAAGAAATCACAAAGCGTTTGAGTGATGTGGGTGCTACTCGCTTTTCAGGATGGGGACCCCGTGGTCCTCACTGCGCCTGGTTGGAGACGCTGCAAGATATGGCTGCCAACCGATGTCAGTGGCGATCTTGAGTGAGTGTCTTGAGGTGCAGGCTGATGTACTAACCTAGCACTAATTCCCTTCCCGTCCACATTTATCCTATCCTTCACAATAAGGATTTCAAATGAATCATGGTTGTGGGGCAGCGATGTATCGGTGTTAAACAGTGATGTCATGCTGTCGATGACGATGATGATGAAAAGTGGCGTGCATACACGATTTTTTTTCGGGCAAATATAAAGTCTTTCCAGTAAGATTTTCGCCGAGTCGCAGTCTGTACATTCTGCAGTGGTCAGCGTGACTTACGACGGTTTCCAGTTTATTTTTAAGCTTTCAGACTTGGTTGAGTTAATGTAGGCTTTGAAAGTACGGAACCAATGGGTCCATCGTTTCTTGGCATCTGGTGATTGAGGATCAGCATCGAAAATTGTAGGTGGGAGAATACTATCCATTGGACGATTATATTGTCGCGGGAGTAGAGTGGTTCCGGGTGGACACTGGATAGAAGACAGGATTGAAGCGTGTGACGTAATGATAAAAACAATACTCGTTCGGCTGTAACGCCCTTTCGATGTCTAGCTGCCATTCCACCCGAAGGGAACATGAGGGCTGGGATACTCTCAGGTCGCCCAAGCCCAGACATGAAAAGTCGAGGTGCAGAGATCGGTTTCGAACCATGGACCATCCTGTCAGTAAATTCGCACTCTAACCACTGAGCTATCTCGCGTAACGTACGCTTTACTAGTCTAATAACGACAGTATGTAAGCTGAAAGTATAGAGTGAAAACTGTCAGTTAGTGATATATGATGAGTATGGTTCATGTAGTCATGACACGGTGGAATTAGCTTATTATGCTCTTTCGGTTTCTGGTTTAGAAGACAGCTAATAAGAACAACTAATCGGGCAATGCTGATTGAAGATGCTCTCACCAAACAGACTTCAACCCTCATTTGTCTGCTTCCTGAACCCAACTTACGTGGTGTTCATTTTCTTCAGAAGTAACCGGCGTAACTTCTATGTGACATGCTTTCATCGTTCGTGTGAAACCGTTGGAGCCGTTCTTGGAAACCTTTGATCTTGAGGCGGAATCACATTATTTTCATCAAAGTTTGTGATACTCAATCAGACAACGTGTGATTCATTCGAAACTCCCTTCAATTCCTTAGCTGATCACTTAAGTGACGCTTTGAAGTAGAGTTGTGAATTTTTTTTCTACCCCATGCAGCTAGCCCTCGTGTTTTTTGCCTGGAAACTGCGCCAAAAGCAGCAGTGTTAATATGCAAGGGCCTGCAGATGCTTCAGAAAGCTATATCCTCAAAAAGAATCGAACAACCAGACAAAATGATTCCGCTCGGACAAACTAAATAAAACGAGTCTTCTCTCGTTTACTGCTTAGTGGGCTGCTAAGCCGAACGACTACTCCACCACGGTTTTGTAACCGCTATCCGTCCACCGACAAACCTGTCCGTCGATTCGGCTTTGACAATTGAGATCATTTAACTACTTTACCCAATTCATGCAAAGTTCTTTATGATGCCAAGATTGGCACGCGCTTCCAGGTTATCCATACCGCTTGCACTAGGTCTCTGTTCACATTCTGGTGACAGAGACGGTCAAATCCTGCCTTCGACCGACTTGCTACACACAAACACGCATACAACTTTGAAAATGACGACTAGTGTCACTGGTACAGTAGAATATACATGAAAGATGCCTTTATGTATGTGTCTTTAACGCGACGGGGTGTGGTTCTGCTCTTATCGAAAGGTTTCATCTTCTAGAAGACAACTTCATCTAGAAAACTGATAAAATCACTATCGAAACGCGCAACTTTTGTGTAGATGGGTGTGCTTGCTTTGGCTCAATATAGCAAATGTATTTCTTTGGGAAAGGCTATACGAGCTCCTTCGGCTTTGCCAACTGGTTTGTCAACAATATGTCCTGATTTTCTTTTCTGCTCTCTAAAGGCTACTTCTCGGCAAATCTTCTTTGTTGAACAGTTCATGTCTGCGTTTATCTTCTCTGGACCCCCCACGGGGTCTATCTTCCCAGACGTCGCTTTCGCCGGTAAATAGCTGAACCAGTCGTTTTTAGTGACGGTCTTATTCCTGTGGTCGGTTGTGACTGTTCTTAGGGACTGTTCTTGAGCCCATATCCCAGGCTCTCGCTATACAAGATTGCTCTCGATCCACGTGCTTTTTATTTGGCTCTCTTTGCATCTCTATCCCTCACCATAGTCCTTGTTCGTCAGTGTGGATTTTCCGGCTTCACGTTGGGTACGCGGTGTCCAGTATTTGTTCATTATGCCTGACAGCTGCCTTTAGACCCTTAGCGTAGGTCCCTTTGCGTGTTTTCATCCCCAACCAGGATTGTGGTAGTTTGTTTTTGGGTAATCTCCGTGCTATTGGGCGGAGTCCGCAATCTGTTTTGAATTCTCATCGTTCTGGTTGGTGCGACGCGTGATCGATTCGGCAAGCGTCGACTTTCACTGCTGGCATAGGATCGTTCAGCTGTAGCACCGTTTCAGTGCCTAGCTGCCATGTCACACGAAGAAGGCACGAGGGCTGGGATACTGCGAGGTTGCCCAAGCCTAGATAGGGGAAGTCGAGAGGCAGAGGTCGGGTTCGAACCACGGGCCTTCGGGTCAGTAAATTCGCTCTCTAACCACTTAAGCAATCTCGCCCCTCTGCTGACATCACAACATCACAAACCAAAGTGCGTCCACATGTTTACAGAAAGTCAGTGTTTAGAGGTGCCTGAAAGGCACTGAATTTACTGATACCAATTTAATTTTGGTCGATATTACCATTTGTCGTACATGGAGTTGACTGGAGGAGTAATGGGTGCGATCATCTGCTGTGCCTAGGGATCGCTCTTAGTTGAAGCCGGATAGCTTACTGGATAAGATTTGATCTGCGAACTATCAGACCTTTAGATGTAACTGGACTAGACCTTTTGTTACATGTTTCTAGGCTTAGGGAACCTGACAGTATTTCGGCTACTCTTTTTGGGTCGACTGTTAGCTGTTCATTGAAAGGGTGCTATGGGTGATCAATTTGAATAATATTCTGCACCAATTCCAGCATGACTGGTCGGTTTCTCACATGTCCCGAACTTATTCCGCGGAAGAACGTAAATCACAGGCTAGGTCCACACCGACTGAAATCTATTTCTGGTTCCACCAACAGATACGAATGTTGGATTGCTAGTGAACTCCAAATATAAGAACCAGGTTTTGTTTCGCCTCACCAACATGCATTCTTAGCGGTCATTTCTTCCATCGGGTGATCGATTTACTTACTGTCTATTCCCAATGATTTGTCGTGTTACCTTCGTGTTCTTTTTACCTTCAGCTGTTGTGGATCAATGAACCCACTGAATTGGCTCGCTTCTATCAACGAAAATCGTCAAGAAAACGAGCCATTCGATACCTCACTGGTTTTGCCGCTGACTGTTGGGTTAGGGACTGTTGTTGTGAGCGTCCTTCTCGGTTACCGGGGTGGTATCCTTGGAAGCTCGAAGAGGTCTCTTATTAGCAAGTCGATCAAGGAGTCTACAGACATGGTTAGCTCGTTCAGTAAATTCGCTCTCTAACCACTTAAGCAATCTCGCCCCTCTGCTGACATCACAACATCACAAACCAAAGTGCGTCCACATGTTTACAGAAAGTCAGTGTTTAGAGGTGCCTGAAAGGCACTGAATTTACTGATACCAATTTAATTTTGGTCGATATTACCATTTGTCGTACATGGAGTTGACTGGAGGAGTAATGGGTGCGATCATCTGCTGTGCCTAGGGATCGCTCTTAGTTGAAGCCGGATAGCTTACTGGATAAGATTTGATCTGCGAACTATCAGACCTTTAGATGTAACTGGACTAGACCTTTTGTTACATGTTTCTAGGCTTAGGGAACCTGACAGTATTTCGGCTACTCTTTTTGGGTCGACTGTTAGCTGTTCATTGAAAGGGTGCTATGGGTGATCAATTTGAATAATATTCTGCACCAATTCCAGCATGACTGGTCGGTTTCTCACATGTCCCGAACTTATTCCGCGGAAGAACGTAAATCACAGGCTAGGTCCACACCGACTGAAATCTATTTCTGGTTCCACCAACAGATACGAATGTTGGATTGCTAGTGAACTCCAAATATAAGAACCAGGTTTTGTTTCGCCTCACCAACATGCATTCTTAGCGGTCATTTCTTCCATCGGGTGATCGATTTACTTACTGTCTATTCCCAATGATTTGTCGTGTTACCTTCGTGTTCTTTTTACCTTCAGCTGTTGTGGATCAATGAACCCACTGAATTGGCTCGCTTCTATCAACGAAAATCGTCAAGAAAACGAGCCATTCGATACCTCACTGGTTTTGCCGCTGACTGTTGGGTTAGGGACTGTTGTTGTGAGCGTCCTTCTCGGTTACCGGGGTGGTATCCTTGGAAGCTCGAAGAGGTCTCTTATTAGCAAGTCGATCAAGGAGTCTACAGACATGGTTAGCTCGTCACGCGACGCGGTCAAACGTAAATCCACCAAGTCGACAATGAAGCCGAAGCCGTCATTGTCTCATACCTCCGAATCAAAGCCTCAGGCAACGGTTGAACCCACTCCTCAGGTTATCGCCCCAGACGTAGCCCAGGGCTACGTCCAGTCACCTCCAATCTTATCAAATCATGTGCTATCAAGTGTTGCAGCACAAGATCACCCGAATCATCATAACAAAGGACCCTCGCCCACTTCCTTCAATTCTGATAAGCCGAAATTAGAACCTTCTCTCCATAAACCATCACCTCCTACAGAGAATAAGAAATCCAAAAAAACAAAGCGACTCACGAAACAGGAGCCTCCACCTGTATCTACACCCGAAATAGAGACTACCGAAACCGATACCACATGGGTGACTGTGATTCCTAAGAAAGTCAGGCCCCCCACAGTTGGTTCATCCAACGAGTCTTCTCAAGCTGCCGCATCCCTTCCCTCATCCACCTCTAGTGCCAAGAAAAAGACCAGAGAACGTAAGAACCCGTGTATCATTCTCGCTCCATTTTTATTCATCTATGGTCTTCCTACGTTATTGGAGTCATTGCTTTCACTATTGCTTCATTGATTCTCGAATGGCAAACGTTTCATGTGTAATTGGTTTCAACTGATGTGGAAGAGACGGGTTTTTGTAATCTTGAATAGGAACTCATTTGCGCCTAATGCAAACATGAAGGCAGTCTGTCGCTCGGATCGGAGTGTTCTCTGTTTAGTTTGCGTTATATCCAGTTTTCTCCCCGTTGGAGTTTCATACTAAACGCCGGCCGCAATTTTTACCTAAGTATACTGGAAGTTCGCACTGGTCCATACTCAGAACAACTCAAGGTTTTACCTCGGCGGTCAATCTGTCTATCTCGTTTGTCCGCCTGGAAAGTTACAGCAGATTCTCAAGGGTTTCCCGAAGATCCCATGTTCGGTCTCTTGTTCTGGTCCAAAGGGATTCCGATCAATCTTTCGTACTTGTTGATCTCCATTGGATTTTGAACCCTTGATATCATTCCAAGAAGTTCTTCATACGTAACCTGTGATTTTCCCGAGGTTTATCTTGTCCAAAAGGTGTTTGTCTAAAGTAGTACTGTTTTCCATTCCCAAACGGAGGTGATCAACCTCTGATTTGGCAGAGTGATATGGAATAAATTACGAAAGGTCTGTGTACTATTGGTGTGACTTTTCTTCCGAGATAGGATCCGCGTGATTCCTCTTGTGCATTGTTGAAGAGACTGTAAAATATGGATGCTAATCGATGTCAGTGACATTTTTGTTGTCAGTTTCTATCCAGATCACCTGAGTGAATGCCCTGGGATATGGGCACATTAGACTGTAACCCTCTCGTTTTTATTCTTGCCTTCACAACAAAGGTTTCAAATAAGTTATGACTGTACGGTAGCGAAGCATTAGTTTTGGACACTGATGTTAGGCTGTCGATGGTGACGAATACTCATTTACATGTGCACTGCAAGGCAGAGAACCATCTACCTTCCCGTTGTGGAGACGACTTAAAGGCAATTAGCTTGTTGTTTGGCATTAAATTCGTCATAATCATCGTCAGCTGTAAAAAAAAACCGTGTACTTGCCGTACAGTGGTTATAGCTACCACAGTTTCGTTTTCCGGTGAAGTAGATAGCGACACATTGGAGGCGGTAGCTCGTATGTTTGATGGGTCAGTGCAGGGGACTTCTCATTAGGGCGATGGGGAGGAGACCTATGAATTGAAGACGATCATTTGGATGAATGACCGCCAATAGGGGCGCGACTGGGTAATGTCTGACGATATCTCTAACCATTAATTTGTCACCTCTCTGGGTCCACATCCAGGGAGACAGCAATGACCAGTGCAGCTGAGTTTGTTGGTAATGGCTTTTATACTTTGTTGCCAAGTGTTTGTTTGACCTCCTCTGGCTGGTTTAGACCGTTCGCGTGGTGGAACCCTTCGAGGAATTCGGTCAATCCAGCGCAAAATGTGGAGTGTGATGGGTTCATCTATCGTGGGCGAGTTCTCTTCCGAAATCACTCGAGGCGCTTGAGCATCACTGATCCGGTGTTCCCTTCAGACTTGGCCATCAAAGTGTGGAAGTTAAAACCAGTATGCTTAGTCGGATTGGTTCTAAGGTACACTTTTCAGTCGGTATCAGTAATGACTGACGTTTCAGGACAGACAATGAAGGGGACGGCTGCTATCCGAACTCTCTGTAATAATACCACCGTTTTCTCGACATTTCCCTCTAGCTGTGATCACTGAAGAAAGCCGCACAAATGCTCCAGTTCCACCCAACCAACGGTCAGAGCCTGTCGAAGCCGAAGTAATCGTCCCCTCTCCAACTGCCAGATTAACGTCTGTTCAACAAACGAACCCAAACCCCGCCGCATCGCAAACTGTTGCTGAGGCAAGCAAGGTATGTGCAACGGTTCGATTTTGATTTTCATACTTGTGCGTAAGTACTGATTCTTGGTACTTTAATGCTTTCAGGAGGTCAGCTCTCTTTCTGTTGTGTGTCAGAAACGTAACCATACTGTATTACATGTTTCGTGCATCAAAGCCCCGGGCATATGTATGCAGAAGGGCTTAGGAGGAGAGTTTCACAATCTTCAAGGTAGATGCCGGCAACATTCGATTAGCACTGACTCGGCGCATCAGGTAGGTTGTTCAGGCTGCTTCTTCTACCTGCCTAGTCGATTATGCAATGAGTCAAATGAGTGGCAATCGGTTCCTTAAAACCAACCTGGAGCTCGCGCTCAAGGTTTTGAGTGCTTTAATTGTGAACCCTACTCATCCTGATCGCAGTGAGTGGTCGGTCGGACATTATTTCAGCCCACGTACAACCGTGAACTGTACAAATACCGGTAATTTCATACCAGCTGTTCCCCTCTATTACTGGGTTACTGCTGTGCTACCCGGCATCACCCTACCAAAAAAAAACTGCCATTGAGCCAGATTGACAATATAACCCTTGGTGAAGAGGCTCTGTTCTTGACTGACACTCTTCATAGACCACCTACGTCGAGTTAAACCATGCTCTTGTCCGGTGTGAATTTTATATAGGTCTTCTGGGGAACACACCCCCCAACCCAAATTAAACAATTTTATCAAAGTATCCCATGCGAAGCTTTAAAAATCGCATCCTCAGTAGAGTTCATTTATAGTTAGAATGAAACAATCATCGCCATTCGTACGACATGAAACTCGGCGTGTGGTGATTTCGAGGGCCAAGCAAATGAGATCTGGATTCGGGAACAGTCACTGTTGCTTATTGGTAGGAGGTGCTGTATACTTTCGGAGTCAGGTTCTTTGTATGCGAGCTCAGGTATAGTCTGTGTGCATTTAAAAATCCTAATGGAATCAGGGGGGTCCAGAACCACAAGATCTCAGGACACCTGGCACAAAAAACGGGATCAGAAAAACCGACAGTTCATTTATAATGATAAAAATCACCCTGGTCGATTACTTTGGACGGTATTCTCGGTGATCGTCTGCCCGTGTATCCGTCTTTCAGTGATCCTTAGGTTAGGTCATCGCTCAACTTCTGAACTACTAATCTGCCTGTCTGCTTTGGAGCACTATCGGGCCTCGGGGGCGAATAAGCGCCCATCAGCATCATTCAAAGACGGTGCTGATTTCGTAGTTCTGTCTTGACGAGGTTGTTTAGACTAATTGGAGAACAAGAATGCGTTGCAGCAACCTGGGTCCAATCAATCATTGTACTTTTGTTCATAAAATCTACCAGAATCGACTTTTCTAACCATATAGATATAGGTCATACTTCAGTTGTAACATGGCTGATGGCCTCAAGAATATCGCAGTGTCTAACTTTATCACACCAAGTTCAAGTCCGAGAGTATCGAGCAGGATTTCGGCCGAATGGACAGTGGGTTGACAACGTCGTCACATTACTTCAAGTGCTCGAATAAATTACATCGCGCATATCGCCGGTCACCTGCGGTAGTTCTCCCTAACATCTATTTCGTGGATGGTTTGGTTCAAAAAACCGTTCAGCTGTAGCACCCTTTCGGTGCCTAGCTGCCATGCCACCCGAAGGAAGCACGAGGGCTGGGATGCTGCCAGGTTGCCCAAGCCTAGACAGGGGAAAGCGAGAGGCAGAGGTCGGATTCGAACCACGGACCTTCCAGCCAGTAAATTCGCGCTCTAACCACTTGGACCATCTCGCCCCAGTTTGCACAATCTTCCCCAAACGAAACATCCGATGTGGCCCCTTACTAAAGCATGGACCCTACCCATTCACCGCACGAAGTCTTGTTTGAGGATCTGCATTTATCTTTAAAGCTTTAAGGTGGACAGAAACCGAAGTGGTTGGTCGGTTTGCCCATCTTACAGTCATAACTTAGACTGTGTGGTTACCGAAGTCACCATCGAACGCATCATCAAACAGTACGGTATTTTTATCACAGTTTGAATGCCGATCTCTTTCGAGGTTCCCACAGTAACATCAGTCCCTATGGAGTAGCTGCTGTCCGTAGGCATCGGTTATTCATCGGCTTACTTTTCTAAGTTCCCTGATCATTTCGTTTTCGATGGTGCTGTTGAGTTACTTTTGACCACATGTTTTGCCACTTCCCCTGTGCATTTGTTTTATGTTACTGCACTTTCTTCTTTTGACCTTTCATCACATGACCTGGTTGAAAAACAGCACTTAGTGTTTTTGCAATTGCCTGCACGCACACACGGACACAAATCTGGGACCATCGCACTTTCTGACTTGCATTATCCCCCATTTGTTTTCTCTTCGTGAGAAAGGTGGACCACGCTGTTCCTTCCGAATGAATTGCAACCGCGTACTTTGGCCGCCATGTGATACACACGACCACATGCTTGGTACAACTCTCCGTAGTTCACATAATCGGCGTCCCGGTTTTGGACAATTATCCACTCCGTTTGATGGTTCTTAGCGTTTAGCCTTTCCAGGACCATTATCACTTCTAAAGCAATCTCGCTTTGAACAAATTTGACTGGAATATCCAGCCTCAACCTAGCTTTCCGCTTGAATTATGCAGCGGGGGGGGGGGCAAAGATCCTTGTTCAGTTTGTTAATGTGCCATGCACGTCTCGCTGTACTGTTTTTTCGACATCTTCAAAGGTACTCCCTTGGGGGGAGGAGCGAGATGGCGCAACTGGTTGGAGCGCGGATTTACCTACCGGAAGGTCCGTGGTTCAGACCCGACCTCTGCCTCTCGACTTCCCCTGTCTAGGCTTGGGCAACCTGGCAGTATCCCAGCCCTCGTGCTTCCTTCGGGTAGCATGGCAGCTAGGCACCGAAAGGGTGTTACAGCTGAACGCTTTTTCCCCGTGGCTCGCTGATTGACGTTTGGGCAACTTTTTGCGGTGATGAATTGTATACGTTCATCTGAACCTTGGAGCCGGCGAATAGTGATATGAATTTTGTGGTTCGTCGCACCAGGAAGTCGTGCGACACCGCATCACCGTCAATGCAGCTTTCACAAATCCCATGAGCGGTTATCCTGATAGGAGCTGGACGTTCATCTTCAGCGCTACAGGAAGCTGACTGGCAATGTGCTTCAGTAGGGCACGTATACAGCCCTATGCAGTTGTATGTCTTGCCACTTCTAGGGTCGTTTCCCTAAGTAAACTCGGTTCACTTGCGGACAGATACGCCTACATTTCTTCACGGTGTATTACTGCATTGATTCTAATCAGACCACGTTTGATCATTTCCGGCATTTTGGTCTGTATCACTCCGTTTGTCGAGGTTAGTGTGCTGCAGTTCAATGGGCAGTTTGTACGTAACCGGCTTTGTCTAGTATAATACCGATGGTAAAATCAACGCATTAAAAAGAATTCGGAAACAGTCGGACGAAGAGTTACGGTTAGCAGACTACTATAGAACAAGGACTTGGTTACCAATCAATTGGAAAATGTTTGGGACCGATTGGGAAGTCATCGTTTCAGAGAGGAGCATCACCCAGCGCTGACCAAGTCGGCTAGTGATAAGAAATCTCACGGATTGGTTCCCTGACTGCCTTAAAACCCAATCAACCTACTTAGTTACTTGGCCTGACGAAGCTTTTGTGTCAAAAACGAAACGTCGCCCAGCAATAAATCCACGGATTGTTTACCAAACCTCTCTGAGACTTGGCTACCAGGTGAAAGAGGTAGAAGCGGTGTGACACATACTTATGCGTTGCCGCAACCGAATTGCTGATACCAGAGACACCTGACTAATCGTCAACGGTTACGTGGTGACCGGCTTGCAAGTCTGGTTTTTTCAAGTTCTATTCTTACTGCCAATAAAGTACGGTATAAACGTCTGCTCGATGCAGCGACATTCGAATCAGAACTTTTATCCCTGATTTCTGGCTATTTAGGCCTCCGACTTGGCAGTTGGCTTTAACCGTATAAACTCTGTTAATAGCTTCTTCGCAGTGCATACTTCTGTTTTTTTACTGCATTATTCGCTGAATTACGAGCTCAGGGTGACAGTTCTTTTCTACTGTCTTAGACATATGCAGTCTTCATTTCACACTCACAGCTCTTTGGTCACGGATACCATCCTATAAGTTCGAAATAGCCAAACTAGCGTGTGCATCCCGTGAGCACATCATTCTGATTGGTTGGAAAAAATCATTGCGAACTGCTAGTGCAATCGCCTAGAAGTATATACCAAAATCGTCGGTGAGCCTCGACTTGAATCACCCTGTTATTATGTCTTATGGTTTACCATACGGTTTGCCTATTTACCCAATCGGATATGATGCGCGGAAAATGCGTCTGTTTTCCAATAGTTCCACGGGGTCCGCTTTTTAAATCTCAAATCTGTTTTAAGGCCGATAGATGCTTCCAACCACTAAACAACCACCTAGATAAGTCATGGCATGTTTAGGTGCGCTAAGATTCTTGGCCGAGTCCATTCTCCAATACGTTGTCTATCTTCGGTCCTAACGGGGTGTGAAATGGCCCAAGTGGTTAGAGCGCAAATTTTCTGACCAGAAGGTCCGTGGTTCGAAACCGATCTCTGTCTCTCAACTTCCCCTGTCTAAGCTCGGGCAACCTGGCAGTATCCCAGCCCTCGTGCTTTCTTCGGGTAGCATGGCAGCTAGGCACCGAAAGGGTGTTACAGCTGGAAGATTTTTTTCCGGTCCTAACAGATGGAGGGATCTGATCGATACACCTTCAGGCTAGACGTCCACACGGAACTTGGTCCGCGCCACGACTAAGCGCTGTTCCTGGACGGCCCACCTAACCTTTGTTATAAGCGGTTGAAGTTCATTTTGGTGCATCACACGTTCATCTTTCAAAATGAGGTTACTATCATGTAAGAACTCATACTGTAGGTTGACGGAGAATCACATGTGCTCAGTGCACTATCCGGTGTCCTTATTTTCTCTTCAATATTTCAATTTCGTTTGGACACAGACGTGCTGCCATCTGTCAAACTGATCATCCTGACATTCGAGCTGACATTGTAGTCTGAAGAGACCGACTAAGGAGAGGCTAACCGAAGCCAGTCTTTTATGAGTGACGGTTTCTCCAGACAGATATGGCCAGTGTGGTCGGCTCTCTCTCTCTCCCTCTCCAGATGTTTTTCCGGTAGCTCTGATTTCCACCTGTTTCTTTCACTTTGTCAGGTGAAACCATCATTAGAAACCCAACAGGTCAAGTCCGTAAAGCGTGGGGATGAACCATCGTCAAAAGTTACCCGACCCTCGGACCCCACACCAGCCGTACCCACATCGTCTACTGTCTCGTCTACCCCTATGGCAGGGACCGATGAGACAGAAAAACTGACCGCAGCCTACGAGGATATCCTACGTCGGACGCTTGGCAGTGAAACTGTTGACAGTGTTCGTGGTCTACTCGGGTTGTCCGAGTCCTCGGCTAGTGGGCAAACGCCACCAATTTCGAAGTCGGTACGTAGTATGGTTTTCATGGAATCAGGACATCGTTATCATGGACAGCACAACGTCAGTGTTGAACACTGATGCTCCGCTGTCTTAAAATAAAGTTCCAAATGAACCAATTGTTCGCATGGACGGTACATCTTCCAGACCATCTTGTAGGCTTTGCAGTGCTTGACCAAATATCAAGCACCGTCATTTGATGCACCTAGAAGAAAATGGGCTGATTTGTCTGTATTTCACCTCTTCAGATTTAAAACCCACTTGCTGGCAATAATTATTTCACTTGGTTTTTTTCCACATCACATCTAGCTCGCCGCAGCTACGCATTTGCCGGCGGCAAATGAATTGTACACACGTCACCTGTCTGCTCAAGTCGAGGCGAAGGAAGCCGAATGCCAGGTGAGTGTGATATTTTTCCTACTGTCCATGTTTCACCTCCCCGCCATCAGTATTGGTAAACTGTAAATCTCCCTAGTTTTTGTTCAGTCATCTGGGCTGTGGTCGGACTATCACTCCCGATGTCATGATCATTCATCTAGCTACAATTTCGATGCAGTTTCGTTGGATTTCGCTCCACGCTATCAAATCGCGTCTTTCTGCTCCTCTCACCAGTTGCTTCGAAGTGAGGTCATTCACCTGCGTGAAGAAGTCAAACGAATCACTACCAGCGTTCCCCAACCCTGTCCCCGTCCGTCTGTTCATGTGGAAACCATGACGGAGTTGCAGGTTGAAGCTAAGTGAGTCTCATTGCTAATGTGTAGCGCTGATTTGTAAATAGCAAATCCGTCATGATGTAAATGGGGAGGCCCCTGCTTGAAGCCGCATGCGCTGAATCAACCAGCTCTTGTGATAGACACTAACGGTCCCCTTGTGTATTCTGTCCCAGTAGGGACCTTCACCTTTCAGCGGACGAAATGCCGAAAGAGGCCGCGTTTCCCAGATTTTTGACGATACGAACACTGTTTGCCCTGATAGTTGGTTTCGGTTTACAAGTCGAGCCTGGTTCATCTCATCACACTGAATGGCCCCGTCGCATTCTTGCAACGCGGCAAATCGTGCTTGGATGTGTGAGCTAAACTCTGGTTAGTCTGGTCAACGCTACGAACAAGTACTGGGAATCGGGTTACTCAATGAAAGCTCATTTGCATGATGGGTGATCTAGCTGAACAACTTAGTTCCTCAGGCGGTCACGTGAGGTGTTCTTGTCGTTCAAAGTTGAGATGAGGATAGTTTAGTTTGGTGTGAAACACTCCATGAAGTACTCCCCGGCTAATGTCAATCCAAAAGGTACAATATCTTCGAAAATTCGTGAAGCCGAATGACCTCCCACGTACTGTTTCTTGAATGTTCCTTCCTACAACATGTGTCTCGATTTGCGCACCTTGAAATCATCCTTCCCCCGAGTGTTTTTATACAAGCCTCGTGGTGCCACGCAAATTTGATCGTCGGCGGTATATTCTGTTTAATACTGCGTCGATATGGACTAAAACATCACCCTCATACCGATTCTTAAATGGGTAGTCTCCGTCTTGAAGATGGACGGTTATTCTCATAATCCAAAAGAACCAACGGGTTGCAATCGTCTTGGGGATACTTGGAACCCGTCATGGTATACCTTTCGGTGGTGTGGTAGCAAAGCCCCTCTTTGGCCACGAGTACTTAAAAGGACCACTCTACGCACAGAGTCTAGGTTTTCTGTGAAAATGTGGTCTTTGGTCAGTAGCATGTAATATGAAGACAAAGTGGTCCGAAAAGATTTCATGGTGAAAGCTGTGTGATTGGTACACGTCACAAAAACCAAGCGGCGGACCACTCCATTGCAACAGAACGTAGAGATCTTTTGGGTACTTTATACTCAAACTTGAGTGTCAAACAGATACATCCCCGTTGCTGCCGTGGTGATGACTTCCACTGCCCCCTTCACAATAAAACAATTGTCAATGTCAAAATGAAGGTCCAGTTTTACTCCATTTCTTCATCTCCTGCTATCTAAAATCTTGACACACCGCAAATTGAGAGCACAATTGAGATAGGGTTAGAGTGGTGTGTGGGAGTCGTCACACTTATTGATTTATTTCCATGCCTACAGGATAACACTTGTGTTTCGTTTCGTACAACACCAAAATGATGAAGACATCCTTTTTCCGTCAGTGTCAGAGTTTGAAGATTTCATTCTCTTTGTGTTGTACTGACGTGTCTCGATGTAATACGCCCGTTTTCCTGAATGAATCATCATCAACGACAGCATGACATCAGTGCTCAACACCAATGCTTCACTGCCGTACAACCATGATTTATTTGAAAGCCTTACTGTAAGGAAAAGAATAAAGGTGGATGGGGGAGGGACTTAGTGCTAGCTTAACACAATCATTCCGAGGTGCCTACACCTCCAGACATTCACTCAGGCAATCTGGATAGAAACTGACAACAAGAACGCCACTGACATCGGTTGGCAGCCATATCTTGTAGTGTCTCCAACCAGGCACAGTGAGGATCACGCGGTCCCCATCCTGG